TTATTTAGTGGTATGAGTCGTGATGTTAAATGGTTTGATGATCTATATGTTTATTTAGTGGTTTGACTATTTCTCTGTGCATATTGGTGTATCACCAAGAGCTTTATTTTAAAGTGACAAGTCTACAAGAAGATGTGATTTATTCATAGCAATAGTGCGGGTCTGCTTAACACAATACAGCAAACGATCAGTAGTGTAAAATCAAGCACATTCATAAACATCGTATTCACAATCTTTAGCCCTGTAAAAATACAAAATATGAATATGAATAACACCCAGTGACAACCCAATTCATAATAACAATATGTAACATATATCATTTTTTGTACAATCTGTTCCAACTAAATTTCTCGATGACAAAATATATTTAGCTCAAAATACAATAGTATAAAATAACGGTCATACTGCGCATAGATACAAAAGGACGAATCACATGGAAACCCAAATTAGTATAAAGTACAAGTACCGGTATTCAATACGCAACCTGCGTGGCAGTATGCTAATTAAACCAGTGATTTGCTGTGATGTAACTACATGTAGTTGTATTTATTCACTAGCGTGTCAAAGACACAATAGAATATCATACATTCATATAGTGGTCTTGAAAAACATCTTACTATATGATGTGATGCAGAATTATTCAAATCTGCCACTAGAGGGCGACAACCACAATTGAATTTAACATTCCAGTACTGTTTACATGATCCAGTTCTTGCAGTGAAAACATACTAATATTAGGACAACTCAGATCTTCGGATTTTTTGAGTTCAGACCTATCATGAAGGTTCATGCCTGCCCAGGAACTAAAAGTAATATCTATATTGCATCTTTGGAAATACAATTTTCCATTAATTTATAGCAATACCCTGGTATTATGTATAAATGAATAAGAAATTAAGTAATAACAATTATGAATAAAGAGACTTTCTAAAAATGACATAAATCACCCAAAAGATTAATAATAAATTTGTCACTACTTTTCATTAAATAGATGAATTTCATTAGACAAGTGTTTGTTTCAGTGCGTTTGATATCTGGGACTGCAGGTGCATGGTATTTTTTTGAAATCTAATTCAAGATAGCCAACTAGCGCGCCATATGTTGTTTTTCATGATGTCTCCATTTGTTACTCTGAAACATTATGGCCAATTATATTCGAACTTGATTTCATAAGTTGCATATGCACCTAAGCATCTGAACTTGGCAAACTAATAGCCATATTCATGATCAATTCATGAAATACTTGCACTTGACAACAATTCCTTCTTAGAAATGACTGGGTTGATTTTCAATCAAACTTGGTAGTATAACAACAAATAATGCGTTCAGTGTGCATCAGATTAAAGTTTTTTGCCCTGAACTGTTTTTCTGGATCAAAATCTTGAACTTTTAATTCTAATCCTAATCTCAGCGATTTTATCTGATTTCAAAATTTCAAAAGCATATGTCGGTAAATTATTGATAGCAAACCATATTGTTGAATCATCTCATAGAACATTAATCATAACCATGGTGACTGCAGATTTGTTGCTTCAACGATTTCAGAATCCTCTACATGGACAGAGATTGATTCAACATCTGGACCATCACCAAGTCCAAGGGATAAAGTTGCATCAGTTGCCATAGAAACCAAACTCTACATATTTGGAGGATTTGGACCTCGTCATTCATCTGAGGAGATGTTAGGAGGATCAAGTCAAGGATCTCAAGAAGAAAGTGAAGATGACATGGAAGATGAGGCTGGTCCTGAGGCTGGTCCTGATGCTGAATTTAGATGGTTTGATGATTTATTTGTCTATGATACAGGTAATGATTATATTTCTTGATATGATTACTTGATAGAGTGTGTTCATTTAAACAATTAATTTCTAGAAAAGATTAAAAAGTAACTTTTCAGCATAATATATGCAGTCTGAAATGTAAAATTGATTCAAAAACTCTTCCTTTTGTTTTTCAGAAAAAAATCAGTGGGAGAAAATTGCTTTTATTAAAATGCATTCTCCAACACCGAGGGCAGCACATGGAATGTGTGCAGTGGGAACAAATATTTTAATCTTTGGAGGACGGGACACACAATGTAGAAGGAATGACCTTTATTTACTTGATACAGGTAGTGATTTGAAATAGAAAACTTTTTGAGTATTTGAACTATATGCTGAATTGTGATTCTGACAAATGAAATTTATTCAGAGTGTACATACATGTAAATGTTTTTATTATATCGTCTGTTGTTAGAGTCAATGAAATGGATTGATGTGACGAGCACTGGACGTCAACCCGAACCACGTTCATTTCATACAGTTACAAGTGTCGGTAACAGAATGATTGTGATTGGTGGAAGAAGTCAGGATAATACACATTTTAATGATTTTCATATTTTTGATACAGGTAAGTTATAATTACAGTTGTTACCATCAACCTGGTCAAATGTTATCGGAACTTACAGGATCAAAAGTTAGCCTAGCACTCCACCTGCTGGCGTGTATTTAATATATCCCTATTCATCATATTGTATCTGTAGAGGCTTTTCAGTAAACAATGTCTGAACCTTTGAGCACCTAAGTCAAGTTTTGTCGTCATTCACAATAATTTTTCCAAAATATTGATCAAGACTGTAACAAATGAAAAATTTTGTTCATTTGGTTTTAAAATTATTCCCCAAAATATAGAAAAATACATAATAACCAAAAATAATTATTGCTTTGTATATCATGTGCAGAACACCTCCCACTGACTTCTGTGACCACGGTGAAAAATGATAAAATCAGTTACTATGGCAACACATCCTAAATTATTGTAGCATATAAGCTAGGTTGCACTGACATCTAATAATTTACAGGATGATTGAGTTACTGTTATTTACAAAAGTTCTGATATCTTTATTTATGCATGTCTTTAGTGACTAAAGAATGGATGCAGCCATCCTTGACGGGAAATCTACCAACTGAACGTGGAGTCCATACTGTAACAGTAGTTGATAAAAGTCTGGTACTATTCGGTGGATCTTCACAATTCAATGACCAAACCATGGAATGTCAACAATACTTCAGTGATGTACATGTGTGCAAAATAGGTATGTTCATTTGTTTTAGTGTCTTTGGTATTTAAATTAATCACCATACAAAATATCCTAGTCTGTGTGCATGAAATTTTGATCAAAAAACTAAAAGCAATATCTTCCCATTTTACCAAATGGGAAAATATTTGCACTCGAAGAATTATTTTTCTGAGAACATGTCTTAACCGTTTCACCACCAGTTTACACCACAAATTCACAAAATAGTCCTGTTTATAGTCTGCACTTTCTTTCAGAAGATTTGAGACACATTTTTTTAATAAAAACTGAAAATTTACTGAAATTTTGTCTGTTGGCCGCAAAATTAGAGTTCATTTCCAGGAATATGTAAGAAAAATATATGAAAAAATGCAGAAAAATTTGAGCGAGAAAATCATGTGGTGAAAAGGTTAAAGATGCATTGTCGGCCACATTTATTTTGAGGATTTTGATATGTCACGTAATGTGTACTGTATTCATGCGATGTCTACTGAACAGTTCAGTGAATGCTGAGGTGAAAGTTTTCAGTATCCTAGGGTGTCATCAATCACATGCAGGATTCTCTATTTGACGGCCCAAGTATATTCAATGTGGATTGTTTCCCATTCAGATTACTCTGGGGTTCACACTAGAGTTGGTAGCCATTATGTTCCTTCCTATCACATTTATAGCTCTACTATTTTACGTGTATTTGCTGCATGCATGAATCAAAATTTGAACAGTAATCTTGTTTATTTCAAGCAACTTTTTTACTGTTTTTGAATTCTTTTGTTCAATTCTGTTACAAAGGTGTGACATATTGTTTTATATACGCACATAATTGTTTTCAATGAAAATACTGAATGTTTCAGCAAACTATGCTATATAAACATACAACTCTTATAGTGTGCATTGATTGTCACTTTAACAACAAAAAAGTCATCATTTCAGATGTTTCATTTCTCATTTTCAGCTGACATTCTCAGTGGTAAATCACTGCCAACACTCACAGAAGATAACATTGCAGCCCAACCTATGAAGGAGGTACCAAACACAAGTGGTTCAGTCACTGAGATGGTGAATGGAAAGTCAAATGGTACAGAGATATCTCAGTGATTCCCTAACTATAGTATCAATACCCAACCTACACACCTTTACAGATACTGTCTATATGTAACTGGATATTTATCTTAACCAACACACAAACCATTACTAGCTTTCAAATTCAAATTTTTTTGCATTTTGAGTTTAAACTTTGCATTTTCTCTGGATTTTAACTTTCTTACTTTACTGTACTGTTTTTGCTTTGTTTATTGTTGTTAGAGTCAATAAATTGACCAAACTTCCAATACAGTGTATATTCTGTATTTTTTTCTGCAAATTACCTGTTGTAAGAATTAGGTGGAATGTTGTGAATGTTACATTGTAAGTCAAAAACTAGGTTATAAATAAGTCAAATTTAGCTGAAAAGAGAGAAAAGTTGTGTGCAAAGTTTTAATAGTTACTTGAAGTTACTTGAAATATTTTGCAATCTTGTCAAATTCAGTGCAAAACTGAAAAATTGGTTGCAAAGGTGCTGAAGTAAAACGAAAAGTTGTGTGTGGAGACAAAAACTGGTGGCAAAGTCAGAAACGTGTGCTAACTCAGGAAATCAGTTGCAATAAAAGTAGGAAGATGTGTGTGAAAAGTTGACAAAATATTGTCAAAATTACAGTAAGCTAGAAAAACAATAAGACATTAAGACAAAAAAAACAGGTTACAAAGCTGCCATTCTTGCTGGAGAGTTCCAAACATGTGCAAAGTTTGGTTTGGTTGTAAATGATAGATTGAAAATCAAAAATTTGGTTGGAAAAGTTGACAATTTGGTCTAAAAATTGTCAAAGTAAGCTGGAAAGTTGAAAATACGGTGTGTGATATCGAAACACTTTTAAAAACAAAAAAATTTGCTAATTAAAATTTATCTGGAAAGTTGTAATATTGGTTGCATATGTGAATTCTGCCTCACTCGCTTACTCTCATGCAGATTGATCTTACATGTGCACACTTGTAAAAAATACTACAGAAATTTTGGACAAATTGACAGTTTTTTGTGTCACTAGTATTAAATACTGCATTCGTAATATATATTTCAAAAACACCAAAATGAGACTACATAAGCTGTCTGGGAAAGGTCCACAGTATTGAAGTATTTTGTATGGAAACTAACACTTTGTGCTTGGGATATGTCAGTGTGAGGCAAACACTGATTGTGACATGTTTTGTCAGGAAAACACTGATTGTGACATGTTTGGTCAGGAAAACACTGATTGTGACATGTTTGGTCAGGAAAACACTGATTGTGACATGTTTGGTCAGGAAAACACTGATTGTGACATGTTTGGTCAGGAAAACAGACACAATTTCACACAGTACCGTATATCTTTATTTCATATATATAAGACCCATACATATACAAGTAACAATGACATAACAATTAAGTAAGTTTACTATCATTAACAAAACATACTCGGGAATCCTCAAATACCAGCAAGAGGGTCCAGTTACTGTAATGTTGAAAATTCCGTAATAAAAATATAGGGTCGCCAAACTGATTTTTCTACAAAACAAACTTGAAAATTGATCAGAAATGTGTGTTTTGAGTAGTTTAAAATTGAAACATTCATTCATATTTTGTTTGGTGACCTATGTAGGCATACATGTGGCAGTCACAAAAAATTGAAGAATTTTGAATATTAGTAAATATTATCCATGGAATAATGTGTTAAGATGGATTCTTATAGAAAATGTTCCAAAATGTCTGCTTTTTGGATTATTTTCCCATGTTTTCTTGAAAAAACTTTAAATAGGAATTACCGTACTTCACATGTATATGAATATTTACTGTGATAATAAAAAGTTTTTATGGTAGGAAACTAACCTTAAATTCATTGTACGAAGAAATATTCTTGATTAATTGCCAGAATCTATTTCAATTATAGTAAATATTCCTGATTAGAACTTTTAAAATTATAGCAGCATTTCACATTTGAATCTGTAAGCAATTGTTATAAATGCATTTCCTGTATAATATTTCAGACAATGCAGATTCCAGTATCACCTAAATATTTAGTATATACTGTTGCATTGGGTAAGATTTATGGAATGACACAGTTAGTTATCATATTTAAGATATATAATTTTGTTTCTTGTAGTATAGTTAGAATATAAACATGTCAGAGATATGGATCCAGAAGATGATGCTTGATTATGGTGATTTTTGTAACATCAAAATGATTGACATTCAGTCTTACGATTCTCAAATACGCACTTGTTCATATTGAGGTATTGCTCTGGAACAGCATTAATTAAAACAAATTGGCCACCGGTTGGTCATTTTAAATCGGATCAAACCAATATATCTGTATATCTATGACATGATGTATAAGGAATGTATAAAATTTGAACATAATCAATCAAAGCATAAAAACAAAATGACCGCCACTCGGCCATTTATAACTGATCTGAAAAACAAAATGACATGCATCGAAGTCCAATAATGTACCAAGTTTGAACAAAATCCATCTGTAAACAGCCAAGACCTGGTTCTGGAATGCCAGAAATGCTTGATTTCGATGATTTTTCAGCACTAAAATGGTCGCTATTTGGCCATCTTGAATCAGATTGTGTAACAAATTGATGTGCATATGTATAATATTATGTATGATGTATGTGTGAAGTTTTATTGTGATTAGTCCAGGCATGTCTAAGATTTATCAACATACATGTAGTACAAACAAAACATGACAGCTGGCATTGAAGGGTTCAAAATGGAAAACACCACATCTCAGGCAGGTTTTCTTTTCAGTTTTTTGTGTGTATATAGTTCAGTTATTGGAAACTATTATGTTGATATTGTGTGGAAAATATTTAAATAAAAAAATGAATTACAATTGGATTAAAACTGTACATTACAACAAACTGCTTGTGACCAACAAGATCCTGTTACAGACACATTAGCTTTCACATTAATCCAAACCAACAACAAACTAACCTTCCTTGTTCCTGACACAAAGATTACTGGACACGGTAAATAATGATTATACTTAAATTGTTTTGGCACATCTATTATAAAGTAATTGTAAAAAATGTTTTGTATCAATTTTAAATGAGAATATTTGGAAATCTCAAGGAGGGGTGTTCATCACGAAATATATGTTCGAATTTCATGTAAACAGATAATTTTTTTTTACACGTGTTGTAAACGTCATTATAGGACATATATCGAACATGACACAGAGTGACGATCCTTTAAAGAATTTGGGGAAGATCAAAGTACAAACTATTCTCAACCTACATTTGCAGTTTTCAATAATGTCTTAATGCAACACAAACACTTAGCCATAAATGTTTTAAATATTGCAGTGTTTATAAAAATATTATAACTATTATAATGAATAATGTCAATTTCAGCAATAAAAATACATGTATATAGAAAATTAATTTTTAATTGAAATAATCATGATATTAAAACAAATGGTAAAAAGTACATGTTGACATTTTGGTCAATTTCGTCACAATTATCTTTACATAGGATGTACTTGCTTTCCCAAATGTTGAATTAACACTATCATGTTTGCATAAATGACAGAGATGGTTAAAATAAGTTTTGTATTATAAATCAAGAAAATAAATTGTTGTGTGGCTCTTTGTCCACAAACAAAATCTGTAAAAGCTCAATTAAATTGCAGTCATTAAGTTGTACACCAAATTGTCAGTGATCATATAAAAAATCATACTCTTCTGGTAATTTCACCAAAACAACAACTTCAATCTTTCACTCGCGACATAAACAAAACATGTGGTAATAAAAATAATGCTTTAAGACAATGCATAGTTGCTAACACTGCCATAGTCAAGTTGTAAGAACTCAGTAGGGCCCATTGTATGATTAACTGCTTGACCTCATACATGTCATATTACTACAATTAAAGCTCACAGTAGGCAGACATGTAGGCATAAGTAGCGCCTTCGCCGGCCGAAAGGCATCAGCCCTCACTAACGCCACACAGAATAGTGTATGTCTCATTGGCAAGATCAATACTGCGAATTCAAAAAGTTCACACCTTCTTGCAATGAGTTTCAATGAATATTCATTTTGGTGGTCATGGTAACACCGTCAATCAAAGCCGCGTTTGCATTGTCAATAAAAATCGCAAGAATATAAGCATTGGGCGGAAATTTGCCAGCAACACTTTGATGGCTGTCACTATCTGACGTTTCTGCAATTTGATTGATACCGACAAAACTCATCGGGGGAAATGACAAACTACATTCTTCTGTCGTGTTGGGTTTGGAGCACCGTGTAGGGTGCAACTCATGTGACGTTGTCAGGCTAAGCTCATAGTTGCATGTTTATAATAATCTGATTACATCTAAATTATCTTAACAATGAAGTTGCATTATAATTCTTGAGAAAAAAATATTTCATGATAGTTTCTGAATGATGTATAATTTGGATGTTACGTTATTTTTTGGTAGGTTTTCATATTGACTGCAAAGCTCCATTACCAGACACAGTGTTGTGTGTGTGAAATTCATACTCCACCTAACAATGCTAGATCAAATCATGGCAAATGTTTAATTATTTATTTCTATTTTCGAATCAACCCAAAAGTGTTCTTTCAATTCGTGCACAAGACAATTTGCATTCTTGAAAAAAACAATTATTTTTAGTACTGTAAAATAATTGAGTTTTTACAATAATGCATTGAACATCAATTCAGCAATGTGTCTATCTTGAATTCAGGTGATTCACAAAACATAAATTGACAAGTTCAGTTGTTTTATATAATAACATGAATTGATTAAACCCCTGCATCACTTCTGAATAAATTAAATTCTTTTTCTTGTATATAGAAAAAGAATTATCTTGTTTCTTGAGTACAACTATAATCTGAGAAAGTGTTCATATCTTCTCAATGTAATTGGATGGAAATAAACCTTCCTTTCCTCTTAGTTTTCCAGTCCACCATCCTGAGGGATCTAGGAGCAAACATAACAAG